CCGATACGCATCATTCATTCTACCGTAATCCGTCTCCGCGAGTTCCAGAAGTTCCGTCGATCGCTTTTCCCTCGTACATCAGCCCCTGCATCCCCAACTTACAAACACGTTTAAGTGTGCGATGATTCGGATCCTGGTTATGCAACCAGATCTGAAACTACGTTCCTGTCCCGCGCGTTCCTGTTCAAAACGAGAAAGATATCATTTCCATTTCGAGCTCCCGATAATTCCCTCGGCGATTATCCCCTTTGAAGTGATACTACTGGTGAGCGCTCGTAGTTTAACGAGTAGAAATCAGAATCGTTCGACCATACGCCGACACAAAATTTACATCGCCACTAAATTCACACGAAGATAGTCGATTTGAAAATTTCAAGTTTAAATGACTGCGGATTTCATTTAAGAAACGATTTGCACTTCTATCTTAGGCAGATAGCTGAATATGCTAAATGTTATCTCACTTGAGTTTATATTAAATTAAATCTATATTAAATATTTAAAGATACATTGAGAAAAAGATATCTAAAAATATATTTGTGAGAAATATATTTATTTCATTTAAATAAATATTTATTTAAATACAGGTGAAATAAAATCTTAGCAAATAAGCCATCTATTTTATTTTTTTGCAATTAATGAGATATATTTCACAGAAATGTATATTTCGTCATCACAATCAAATTTTGGAAGTAATATTTGCTTCACAATATTTTGACATTTTTCTCTCACAATCAATGTAGGGGAGAGTGGCCTAAATCGGACCATGTTCCAAATACCTTTTTAATTTAAATGAATACGCTTCAGCAGATTTGCGTGCTTTTCATTATATAATGTAAAGTCCTTATAAGACACCGAATATGTAACAGCAGTTTGACAGTTCTCTATCATAACATTCGTAGAATAGACGCAAATATGTATTTTCAGCCATTATGCGAAAATTTTTTAAAAGAGAATCCTTGTAAATCATTATTTAAAAGGTGTTAAAAATTTGAAAGGTAATTGATTTAAAATAATTCTTTAATTTAGAATTCAATATAATTCATAATAAACTCTTTAGTTTAGAATTCAAAAATATCAAGCGTTTTGTGATTATTTTTGCCATTTATTGTAAAATTTGTTCCAGAGTTCAAAAGGATCCGTGTCCAAATAGGACCTCTTTTTGTGTCTTCTGAATGTGCAAATCGAACCTACACACAGTAGATAACTTATAGGCCTGGTTGTAGTACTGGTGATCGGCCGACCAGATCTGGTCCAAGGAATTAAATCAGTAAAATACTATGAGTCATCAGACTCAGATTAATTGAGTTTTATTGATTTTAATTGTAATAAAAAATATAGACTGTCAATAATTTTTTTTTTAATAAAATTTTTATCTTTGACTGTCAAATTGCTCATTTTTATTCAATACTAACAAAAATATATTAAAATATTTTAAAATTTTATTTAAAAGTCCATAAAAACAAAAGCGTCCGATTTGGAACCAATAGTTCCAAATCGGACCGGTAAAAGCGATTTTACATTTTCCATTATAGTTCAACACAGGTGAGAGATACGTCAAAATAGTCTAAAGCAAAAATAAAGGGAATTAAATGATCTTTCTAACGGCACCTTCAATTTTACGATCGGACTTTATTTACGCCTTATTAGAGAGTAAAAACTGTAAATAAGTTCGACTCTTCTGTATATAGCGAAAATAATATTAAATTACAAAGTGAGAAAAGAGACTTTTAAAGAAATTCGAACGAGAATATATAGACTAGTACAAGATAATAAATGCAAATGTTTTTGCGATATATAATATGTTCAAGATATATTAATATAACATACTTTCAGTTTCGTCGTAAATAATGATATAATATGTGTTAGATAATGTCATATTATTTTCATTACTATTAAAATATGCATAATTTGCTGAAATTTATACTTCTTTCTCTAGAAAAAAGCTGATCTTAAAAGGTGGTTCTAAAAATTATTATTTTCAGTATAAGTTTATATATAACATATCTATATGTATAATTCAACTTCAATGTATGTATAATTTAACTTCACCGGAGTTAAATAAAATTGTTTGTGTATGGCGTTTTTGTCCCTTTCTGCAAAATACACTTTTCTAATGTTATTTTAACCGGAATCTCCGATCGTTATATTATCTTTATTTGCTACGGTAGCAAATTCTCTTTATTCTGCAAAATAAATCTTTTTATCCTCAATAAGATATGAAATTAACAATAATGAAATAACAGTAATGAAAAATGGACCAATAAATAAATAACAGTAAGAGAAAGAGTCCTATATTCATAATGCGGACAATCTTGGTGATTAATAATACTCTTATGTAAATTTTTAAATACATTGTTCAGTTCGATGAACTGCATGTCGGTTCAACTTGAAATGCAATTATAAATTAAAAGTTAAAAGAATTGACCTCTGTGAAGCTGGTCCCACTTTTTCCAAAAATTGAAAAAATAAGTAGAGTTCTGGTTGCCCCCCCCCCCCCCCCCCCAAGAGTTCTAGAGTTCTCTATCAATTTTATTTTCGTCGATTAAAGGGGTGAAAACACCATTTGAAATATCGGGGGGCCAACTTCACGATTCCGAAATTTTGAAGGGCTATAACTTGTTTACCATTTATTTTAGAACTTTCATCCATATAAAACAATCGATAGAACTCTTTGGGGAGCAAACAGAACTCTCAAGAAAATAATAGATTTCCAAAAAAAAATTTTCAAAAAAAAATTAATTATCAAAAAAAAAACCTTTTTTAGATTTTCGGCATCCTGTAATGAATTCGGATAGCCCTCCACAGAGTTATAACGATAATCCTTAATAATGAAACAGCTGAGATCGAAAACAAAAAAGTTCTAGCGCCTTGAATGGAAAATTTCAAAAGTTGAAACTTCAAAGCCCTAGAACTTTTTAGATATCGGTTTCAGCGCATCGCTTATTAAGGATAATCG